GTTTTATTAAAAACGTTAAATTAAATTATTAAATTTTATTAAATTTTTAGCTCTCTTTTAATTTTAAGCTGACACGTACGCTTACCATATTTGTAGATTATGGTATATTGGCTGATATACCATAATGGCTAAGCCAATAAAAAGTCTTGAATTGCATTATCCAATGATCTAGTTTTTAATAATAAGATATATATCTTCGTAAATCAGTGCAAAAGATTTGTCCAGCAAAATTCAGCTTAATTAAGAGGTTTTGAAATGCCCACAAAATAACTTCATTTCTCCCTGCAACCTCAAGGTTACTTTCTGCAGTGCCAAATATATTTAAGCATGCGTTCCTTAAACGCATTTTATTACTCAAAATTTGAAAGCTAGAGATCTGGTCTGGTTATCTACCCTTATGGTTTTCTAGTTTTTCTTTTTCTGAATGTTTTCTCTGAAAATGAATGGTGACATATCTGAAAGGACATAATTCTGAGAGTCACTTTCATCGCTTCACGCACGAAAGCAAAGTAATTGCATGAATTCAATCACACTCGCGTATTATAATTGATCGCATATCACGCAAGTCTCGAATATCGACAACTGACGAGAGAAAAACGAACTAGATAACTTATTCTATTCACCTGCGTATTAAAACCACAGCTGAGTTAGCCTACTGCGTCATTGTAAGGACAATGAAAAGTTCTCGATTGGACCTCAAGACCGACTGCAGGACACGGATCAAATCATATCATTAGGGACTTTAAGAAACCACGGCGGCGACGCCAAGGAAGACTTCGACTAAAAAATGAATTTCTACTCTTAGTTAGAATTTAAAAAATGGCTGCAGGAGCTTACTGTCTCATACAGCGCCACACCTCAACTTCAGCATGACGTATAAAGTAGCCTTTGAGTTCCAAATGGAAATTAAAATAATTTGCCGTCGCAGTTTCGGTTCGCAGACGACGCAAATTTTGGCGATTTCACGTTGTTGTTTTGCATAGGGACGGCTAAGAAATGTACAAAGTTTCTAAACGCACGTGCTGAACTATTGTTCTGCCAATTAGATCTCTTGTTTTTCCACGTCCTCGTTGCCGTCGCCGTCGTGGTTTCTTAAGGTCCCTAAAATTAGTAACAGGGAAAGTCCCTTTGTATTTGGATAAGCTGGAACAGCTTCCCGGAATTCCAAGAAACTCCACCTATGACCATATACGCTCTCCGTCATTCCGGTTAAATTTCGTTTAGCCTACTGATTCCTGTTTGTACAACAGCTACAACTTGAAGACTAAAATCATAGAAGAGGTTTGAAAGCAGCCCGAATCATGAGCAAGGTACGTAAAGCAACTAAAAGGAAGCGTACTTGATACACAACACATTTTTTTATTTAGGGATGAGCAAGCAATATTGATCTACTAGCAAATAGACTGTTAATGTCATGGTATAACACGCTGAAGGGCCACCAACACCCATTTCAGAGACTTCAGAAACGAAACAGTTGCTGTTAATCTCAACCGTTACGACGCTGTACAACAGGTAACAAATCGCATCGACTGACAAGCATCTAATGTAGAATGTTTGACATATCCTAGCAAAAGGTTTGTTTATTTGTAGGTAGACTTTCATTATCGATGAAATCTTGTCGCTGATCTTTCCAAAGTTACGCCAAGGCAAGATCGTAACGAAATCCAATCGAAATACAACGAAGTTCCTATACGAGGAACTCCTTCCGCGTAGAGTTTTTCTTTTTTAACTTCACTTGTGGAAGGATAAAGCGAACTTACGTCAACAACTTCGCTATGCAAATCAACAACACGTCGTCTCGAGTGATTGTTATGGAAGTTGAACTTAACGACCTTCTAAAGCTGATCGAACGTGATATGGCCGATTAAGTATTTTCTGTTCGACTGATTTAAAAGCCGGGGACTGCTTCATAGTGTGATTGTATCACTCGAGACGACGTGTTGTTGATTTGCATAGCGAAGTTGTTGACGTAAGTTCGCATTATCCTTCCACAAGTGAAGTTAAAAAAGAAAAACTCTACGCGGAAGGAGTTCCACGTATAGGAACTTCGTTGTATTTCGATTGGATTTCGTTACGATCTTGCCTTGGCGTAACTTTGGAAAGATCAGCGACAAGATTTCATCGATAATGAAAGTCTACCTACAAATAAACAAACCTTTTGCTAGGATATGTCAAACATTCTACATTAGATGCTTGTCAGTCGATGCGATTTGTTACCTGTTGTACAGCGTCGTAACGGTTGAGATTAACAGCAACTGTTTCGTTTCTGAAGTCTCTGAAATGGGTGTTGGTGGCCCTTCAGCGTGTTATACCATGACATTAACAGTCTATTTGCTAGTAGATCAATATTGCTTGCTCATCCCTAAATAAAAAAATGTGTTGTGTATCAAGTACGCTTCCTTTTAGTTGCTTTACGTACCTTGCTCATGATTCGGGCTGCTTTCAAACCTCTTCTATGATTTTAGTCTTCAAGTTGTAGCTGTTGTACAAACAGGAATCAGTAGGCTAAACGAAATTTAACCGGAATGACGGAGAGCG